CTCCCACAGTCTATAATTAGTATCTAATTAAACTCAAAATGACTGTTCTTAAGCTCATAACTTAGCTTTGAAGTTCATTGCTTTTATTTCAGTTCTGAAGAAAGAGCTTCTGTTCTCTAAACTTTTCAATTATCAGAGTGACAACAATACTCCAACTGCATGTGGCATTACTTATTACGCTTTGAAACGCTGTACACTGTCAGTTTGTACTGTTTCTCCACAAAGAATTTTTGAGTAGAATTTGCTTTGAAAAGGCAACTCACTCATTTATCAGAGTAACTCTTGTTGAAGTCAGTTGGTTTGTCCTTGTCATGAAAGCAGGAAGTTCCTTTAGCAAGGAAATAATTTCTCAGATCTGCACCTGAGAGTTGATATTTACAGTTGAACAGTAAGCTTTAGTCAGCTTTCACTCAACCTTCTTTAGAAGCTCTGCCTGATTTTGTTAACAGACTTTGTGTTATAATTAAAAACCTATATGGTCTCATCTGAATGTGACTCTATGTTTTTGAGACACATGGACGCACGTTCCTGTAAGAGAATTTCCAAGAACTAAACACTTAGAGGAAAGTTGATTCAAATCAGTTTTATGATAGAAACTGATTGGTACCTTAAAACCAGCATCTGTAAGACCAAAACAAGTAAAAAATCTAAAGCCAAAGTGTTCTGCTAAAAGACCCAAAGGGAGATTTTGTGTATCTTGTGTCTAAACTGTAGAAAGATATTTATATTTTTCCTAACAAGTAGAGAGACAAACAAATGTTACTTGAACTGGCAAGCAATAGTATCATTCTACTTATATTAAAAGGAATCACACTGAGCACAAAATTATCAAAATAGCAGAAATGGTTAATTAAAGATTATATTAGTTCAGAAAACAGCTGATGCATGCGAAGCTTACTGTGCTGTAAAGAATATTTGAAGAGAGGGCAAAAGACTGCTTTGGAGGAAGGGTGAGGCAAAAATACAAATACCAAAATTTCAACAGTAGATTTTTAAATGAAGAGTATTTACACTTGATTGGCATCAGATTTTACAGAAATATTCTTCTCTTTGGAATGAAGTCTCAGATATTTCAGGGTAAGCAAGACTTTACTGTGGAAAAGTGGTTGACTCTCTATAGCTAACACTGAAACCCATCTTCCTTTTCATTTATTTTGCTAAAAGAAGTTTCAATAACTGTTCCTATTTTCTGACTGTGAATGTGTTGCTGGAATGGCTCTATCAAAAAAACAGAGGAAAAAGAATTGTACACAATGGTGCATCTAGTAACTTTATCCCTTCCTGTCTTCTGCTACAGTGCTCCTCTTTTTGTTATTTTATTGTAAAATGTTATATGGGAAGACTGGTATTGTAAGCACCTGAGTATCTTAAATTGTCATTCAAATAAACAAAATTTACGGGAAACCTCTAGTGTTTGTTACATCATTCTGGCAGATTAAGGAATGTGAGGTAGGTCTGAGAGATGTCTTTGAGATTATTTTTGTACCCAAGAAATATAAGCATGTACGGGATCATAAAAACTTAATTGTAGAACATCAAAAGTTTTTCATGGCGTGCCAAGCCACTCTCCAGGGATTACGTGCTCTCCTGCATTTTAACTGACAGTTTTTGGTGGAAAAATTTTCCTTGTGGAAGAACCATTTCTTTTTCACTTACATGAAAATATTTAACACAGGAGGAAAGTAAGTAACATTTATTGAAAACTACCTGATTCATGTGAAATTTTATAGACTCACTACTCTTGGTACATCAGCTTCTGTGTATCACTCACCAGCCTTCTTTATTCACAGCATCATTTAACTTTCAGGACTAACTACACTGTTACTGTGCCAATGTGATGCAGAAAGGTGCCTGTTGTGAGACAATGCTTCATCTTCCCACACTCAACACAATATTCTCACACAGGCAGGGAGTTCTCTGAAAGCATCTGTAATAAAATCTTCTTTCAAATTAAGAAAAAAAAAAAAAGGAAAAGCAGAAGACCTAGTTTTACTGCAGTGCCCAGGACAGCCCTTACCATACATTATACAGCAGACATCAAAGACAAGCTCATTTTCTCTGGCAGAAATTGCTCATTTTCCTGTTACTTTCTTCTTGACCAACATTTGTACTCTTCACTTTTAATTGCAAACATAGATTCGGCTCTCTCTGGGGCAGGACCCCTTTTGTTCTTCCATGTAACCAATCTCCCCTGTCATTACAAAGGGACTATTATTTTGTGACTGTTTTCAAGATATATTTCTGTGGTGTCGTCTTCCCCAACACACACCTTCCTAAATAAAAGCACAGGTAAATCTTCTCAAAACACGGCATTTCTCCGGTGGAAACTTGTGAAAGACATAATTATGTAACTTAATGCCACAGTTGCAAACTATTTATATGGATACTGTGATATACAGTACAGACGTATCTTTCATATATAAACCCCTAAGATTCTAGGAGTCATGCAGGGAAGTACATTTTTGTTATTTTCTGAGCATTGCAAGAACATATACACTGACAAAAGAATAGAAATTACCAGAAAAATAAAGGGCTGTGTTTTAAACCCAACTGACATCTATGCTGTGATATCGTGAGCTTGTTCTCAGGCATTTTGTTAATCAAAAGTAAGGAGTTCATTCAGTGGGTCAATTATTTGGTGCAAGTACTTCATCAAAGTGTCAGTAATGGCACCTCCATGGATTTATACAGATGCACCAAACTAATTTCTTGTGACTAGACTGATTCAGAATTAGCTATCAGCCTTTCCTAAAGCAGGTTTTTTGTGGTTTCACTTGAGAATGTTCAGGTTAAGATTCCCAAAGATTTCTTTGTGTAGGTATGTGTCTCCTTAATAAAAGAAAATCAGATAAAAACAGCTTAATCTTCATACACTTATATACATATGTATAGTGTAATGAAGACTGTACTGAGCCTAAGGCACTGCATTCCTATGAAGTTATTCACATGTATATATAATTTTCAGGTTTATATATGATTTTACATATTTTTTTCCAATTCAGAATTAATTGGGAAAAGTTTGGGTTTTTTTCTCCTTTCTGAAAGCAGCTCTCATTGCTTTATTACAAGAACATTATGCTTTGCTTCTGAAGCTGCATATGCTACCACAGTTGTAATTGCCTGTCATGCAGTGAAGAAATCTAATTAAAACCACTTATTTGCACCTATTAACCAGTCTCTTTAAATGTAGACAAAAGACCTTACCACAAGCTAAAACATAAGTACAGAGTGAGGTCTGCAATTCAGTAAGAGAAACAATGTGTGTTTTCAGATAATTACACTTACCTCCATTTTCCTGCTACTACCAATTAGCATTAAACATGAACTTACATGGTTATGTAAAACACTACACCTAGCCACTACTCGACACATTTAGACTGTTAACATGATATTGGTCAAGGCATTTCATCTTTCACACACTTTCAAGTCTGTCATACTTTTTGTGTTGAGGGAAAATTACTGATTGCAGTGTGGTTTAGAGGTGTAACACACAATAATTATAAAAAATATTTGATAAAATGCATGGAATAACCTGCAGTTTTATCTCAAGAGACACAGGGTTCTTGAGCAGTTTTATGGATAAGAGCAGAATATTCCTTCAGAACCTCCTTCACCACATCTTTTAGAACAACTAATATTTCAGTTCTTTCATATGAAAGGAAAAGTCTAGAGAAAGCTCTAATCTAAAAGAGGCAGGCAGGGCACTAAACCAGAATGATTTAATAAGTAGCCTACTGCACCAGCTCATCTGACAGAGTTCGCTGCACTTCCCTAACATGGTGCCTTCACTCAAGACCTCACTCTGTTTCACATCGTATAGTGTTGACTGGACAGGTGGAAGAGTTGTTCCGTGTACCAATTCAGCACTTTTGGCAATACTGCGTCACTTCTTGCTTTCTTTAAGGAAACGGCACTGCTAGACTGAATCCACAGAAAAAGTCTTATGCTTATGTCATGTCAGGTTTCTACACTTAAGAAACAGGCCACTAATAAACTAAAAACTGTGGCTTACAGCCATAGGCAGAATTCCTTAAGTCAATGGGTGGCTGAAGGAATGGGATATTTTTACCCTTTTTTTTTGCAACTACTTCAGGGTTCCAGGCCACCCTTGAGTCCTGTGTGTATCCACCACTCACCCACCCCTGTGTACGCAGCTGTTGAGTGCCCGTGTGCTCGTCCTAGCGAAGTGGCCATGTTTTGGAGCTGGATGGGCGGCTGGGATCTTTATTATCTCAACATTTATCTGCATCCACACGGTTTTGTGTCACCTTCTGTGACGGACGCATCCACAGCTGCCACCTGTACCACTGGGCACTGACCGCGCCGGCACCGCACTCCCTGTCCCGCTGTCTCTGTCCGACTGTCCCTGCCTCCTCACCCCACTCAGGAAGGTGCCGCTTCCCATCAGGTCCTCCATCCATCACCACCCGCGCCCTCAGCGCTCGTCCCGCACACCTGGGCACAGAACAGTGCTCAGAATCACAGAATCACCTAGGTTGGAAAAGACCCCTGAGATCATCAAGTCCAACCTATGACCGAACACCACCACGTCAGCTAAACCATGGCACCGAGTGCCTCGTCCAGTCTTTTCTTAAACACCTCCAGGGATGGTGACTCCACCACCTCCCTGTGCAGCCCCTTCCAACGTGTAATCCTTCTTTCCGCGTAGAAATTCCTCCTAATGTCCAAGCTAACCCCCCTCAGATGCAGTTTCGGGCCGGGCGCGGCCGTCGAGAGCCCTGCGCGGTACCTGCGCGGTGCGCGCAGCCCCGCCCGCCCTCAGCGCAGAGCGGCCGCCGGGCGGGGCCGCCTGGTCCCGCCCATCCCGGCGGGGGGCGGGGATTGGGCGAGCCCGCCTGTCAGTCGGCGACGGGGCCGCGCGCGGGTTGGCCGGCGGCGCTGTCAGTCAGCGGCGGGGCCGCGCCCGCCCCTTGTTGTCACGGCGCCGTGCGGGGCTGGGGCCGCTCGCGCCGCCGTTGTTGCCGCCGCCGCCGCCGCCGCCGCCGCGGGAGCCCGGGCGGGGAGCGGCTGCCCGGCCTCGCCATGGCCACCAGCACCACGGGCTCCACGCTGCTGCAGCCCCTCAGCAACGCCGTGCGTCTGCCCGTCGACCAGGTGAGGATGGGGAGCCGCCCGCCCCGCCGCCGCCGCTCCCGGGGGCTCGCCGGGGAGGGACCGCGCCGCGCCCCCGCTCCGCGCCGTCCATCCCCGCGGCCCCTTCATCCGTCCGTCTGTCCGTCCGTCCGTGGTGTCGGGGCAGGGCGGGCAGCGCCCGCAGCGGGAGGCGGCCGCCGTTCCCCTCCGCGGGCGGGGGGCGCCGGGGCGCGGCCGCTCTCCGCAGGCAGGTGCGCCCGCCCCGCCCGGTCCAGCATCCCGCCCGCATCCCACCGCATCCCGCCCGCGTCCCGCCCGGCCCTGCCGCGCCCCAACTTGTTGGCATCGCGCGTCGGCCAGATGTGCCTCCGCAGCTGGGAGCGGGGCCGGTATCGGCTCCAGCGATGCGAAGGTTGGGTAATAATTGCCCATGCAAAGCAGCGCGCTGCGCCTGGATGCGCCTGCCAGGGGGTTTTACACGCGGCGTTAAAAATGTGCGCCGCACACAATGCTACTGGGCGTCCGTATGTACTTTGGAGGCAGAGCGTTTCTGTGGTATCTATTGTCCCAGTGATATAAAAATTCCTTAAGGCTGTTATTCCTGTTGTCTTCACAAAGCATCAGAAGATTACAAGATACGATTGGGAAACTGAGGTTTGCGGAGTTTAATCACTGAGGTTGGACCAGAATGCTTGTTTATGGGGGAAGTGGTCTAGACCTCCTAAATCTACATAATATTTATGTGTTCAGGAATACATAAGAAAAGTAACCTGAAGTAACTCCTCCTATAAATTTTGCAGCACCAAGAAATTCCATGTTAGGAATTCAATTTTTTGTTTTTTTAAAGCCCCCATTAATGTGTGTGTGAGTGAAACACATCAAGGAAAACAGTCTGTGCTTCTGTAGAGAGAGACTTTGATGGTTTGGTTTTATGAAATATACCTAATAAGTGAGAAAAGTAACTGGAAATAAAATACAAAAGAAGGAGCATGTCTAGTGAAAGCATTTAGGAAGTGACTGAGCTACACACTTATTCTTTTTTTTTTTTTTTCCTGCCCTACTCCCCTAGCTGTTTATTTGAATGGAACTCTAGTTAAGGATGCACATGAAAAAGTACCTTCTAGAAAACTGATGAAAGCGGGCAAGTTGAAATTGAGCTTGCAGTGATGGAACAGATACTGTGCACCCCTGGCAATGATACCTGTGTCTGGGATCGATGGCACCACGTGGCTGGGTGCCTCATACCTGCAAGCTGTAAGCTGCTCTTGCCAGGTGCCATGTGTTTATTTCCATAAAGTATGCAGCTTCTACAGGGTGCTGCAAGCTAAATAAGAGTTGACCATTTTTTTATGGCATGATGCTGGTGGTGTATAGTTATCTACTTGTAATAGCAGTCATAAATTTAATTGTTTCATGACACAGTGTGACTTCTACCAAAATTGTTTTAAATATTGTGGATATGGCATTTTGATGACAATGAAGTAACTTTTTATCAAAGCCTGGAAAACTTCCCTGTATTGAATGTTTCGCAACAGGTGCTCCTGTAAAGCCAAGGTTTTATGAAGTACACTTTGAGCTCTGTTGAAGCTTTTGGGAGTAATCACAATGGAGGATGACTAAACGTGTAGTTCAGAAGATGGTTATAAGCAGTTAGAAGTCAGACATACATTGTTTTTGGACATCAGTGGACTATACATAGTACAGGTCCAGTTGCATATGAAGAGCACTGATTGTGACTGGAGTATGTATTGAAGAGTTATAGAACTATGCTGCACTGAGGAGAATACATCTATAATGGATTAAAAAAAGAGAAAAGTTAGTTTATTGTAACCTCTCAGCTCAAGAGTCTATCTTGATAGTAAGTTTGTAATACAGAAAGAATGTGAAATGTGTTCAGTGTAATCAAATCAAAGATAGTGAAGGAGAGAATGAGGGCAGAGAAGAAAGTGCTGATACTCTTTAGTGTGTTTGCCTGAAGACTGTGTGTGACATTTGGTGATACTATACACGTACTCAGTATGGAAATGTAGCAGTGCTTTGAAAAAATAACAGAAGAATAAAAGTTTTCTGATTAGTAGGTTATTTCTACTATTGATCCAAATCTGTACTATGACTACAGTCATACCAGTACAGCAGCTGCTCGAAAGGGGCACTCCAGTGTAGTACCAGCTCTTGGAACTGCTGGAAATGAATGGGTTTTGTTTCTCCACTTCTGTATTTCAGTTTAGACCACAAGCAGATACTAATCTTTGTATCAAAAATGTTGCCTAAATTGTGATTTAAGTCATTGCTATCTAATTATCCTGCTAAGGCATGTAACTCCTGGAAGACAAATCCAGGTAGCATATGTCAACATTATTCTACTCTCTGGATGTTCAAGCAAATGAAGAGAAGAACCTTGCCTATTTGGCAGTGAATGGAAGGAGAAATGTAAGTTAAAGGTGAAGCTGCTGTCTCTAAGATTAATCAATCAGATCCGCATCTCTGTGTGGATCAAGTGTGAGAAATTGGTTGCTTTTTGACTTAGTGCTTGGCAGAACTAGAGGTAGAGATCTGTTTGAGAATGGTGTTGGTTATGTGCACGTTGGAGATCAGTGCAAAAGATGAAGGATGAGCTCCACTAGAGCCATTTGACACAGCAGTCTCCTCCATGTGCTCATCTGTGTTGCAAAAGAGAAGCTTTGTTGCTTTAACAGTTTGCTGTTCCTAGACCTTTCTTCTTGGTATTGGAGTACTAGGTAGCTAAGGGAATGGAAAGCTTGTTTTCCCCTTGTGTGTATCCCCCTACAAGGTATTATGCAGTAATTTGTTGCTGTATTAACCCTTCCATTGGCTCTTGTTTTGTCTTGCACCAAGTTAACTGAAATGGCTATCTGGAAAAGCTAATGTGTTTTTTTAATAGTCTTTTTGTGCCAATTCTTCTGTTATTTTTAGTCATTTGATGCAAGGGAAGATGCTCGGTGTGAGCAAGAACCTACAGCAACCTTACATACCTTTTATTTTGCAGTAGGAAAAAAAATCACTGCTTGGGAGTGAAAAGCGTCATAAAAACTGTATCTTTTCATGACTTGGAGAATCTAAGTTGCCTACTCAGCAAAGAAAGCATTCTGTCGACAACTATCACCTTGGGTCCCTAAAGTTAATGAATGAGTGAATAAATATTAATGTACAGCAATATTCCTTCTGTCTTCTTAGGAGAGAGAGGGAATAAAAGTAGTTAGGTCCTTTCCACCCCTGACAGCTTCCCAAGAAGTATTGGAAGGTTCATTGTAAAAACTTGGCTGGTAGAGTATCACATGTTGTGTAATGGATCAAGGTTACAACTTAAATTATTTCACTGTGGTTATGTCTCTCACCTAGCCTTATGTTTTTCCTATCTGTTTTCATGTCATACCTGTGTTTCTCCTGCTTTTTTCTTTCTCTAAGGTGAAGCTTGACAAATAGAGTGTTGGACCTTGGTCCATTTCTAATTCTGTCACTATCTTGCTGAATTTCTGTTGCCAAATTACTTTTCCTGATAACTTGTCAGCTTACTTGTCATTAAATTGGAAAGATTTAAATTTACTGTGACAATGATTGTAGGAGAGAGAAGCTTTCATCTTGGCTTTTAGGTCTCTCTAGGGTAAGGTGAGTTCAGAGAATAATCTTTGCTTTCACTGCTTCCACCAGAGGGAGCAAAATTTTTTACCGAAAGTGGGCAGAAATTGCAGAGGTTATTACTGCCCTTCATTTGCTGTAGAAACAGATAACTTGTAGTAGAGGAATAGCTGAGCAGGGGAGATATGAGACTGACTATGACAATATGTAAGCATCAACTTTTTACATGGGTTGTCTAAGAGATTGAACTTGAGATCCTGAAGTGTGGTCTGAACTAAGATAATTTCAGTGCTTCTCTTCTAGATAAGAAAAGAAAGAATGTGGCTCCAACTGCTAACAGTATAGCTGTATGAAGATATGTGGACCCACTAAAATGTCATGCTTATGATTATGCACTTCACTTAAAATCCAGCATGTAAAGAGAAGCAGTGTTTTTTCAATAAAACTGAAAGAAAAAAATTTGTGTTAGTTCCACATTTGTTTTTTTTTTCCCAGTCTAATTTTAGCTTTTATTTGGTTAAATTTGCTCATTTGTGTAGAATAAATACGATTTTCTACGTGAGTGCCGTCAATCTTCAAAGAATCTAAACTGACCTTTTTTTAATAAGAATAGGCATAAAAATCCAGGTCCTCCTAAATGTGAACTGTATAAACCATCTGAACTTCCTTAATTTAGTGATCTCAGGCCATTTTGCTACACCTTTGCATAATTTTCTGCATATGCTTCCTTGTGCGGAGGGTTACCCAAGTTGCTTTCAACATGCCCTTAGCACACTCTGCTCTGCATAATAGCACTGACTTATGTTGAGCCCTTGTGTTTCACCTTGATGCCCTCAAGGAGAGTGGGCAGGAATTTTTTTCCTTGTATATATCTATGAAATATTTATTTCTTACATGCAAGATGTATCTGCAATTTTTTTCTCCTTTATTTTGATGCTTTGGAGGTGAGCACAGCTGTAGTTTGGGGATAAGGCCAGATTTGGAGCTGGTTTAGGGAATCGTTGCTGAGAAGCAGTATGGGCCTGATTTGCCTGCAGGGCACATCTAGATATGTCTCCTAATTAGATCTCTGTTACTTCACAAAATTTTGGGCATTAGTGATGCCTTAGCTGCCCTTGTTTTCTGCCAAGGCAACATAATGGAGCCTCCTCAGGGCTGAAATGTTTTAGCCTGATAAAAACCTTTTTGTCTAAACATGGATTGGATATCAACATGTTTGTCCTATATAGCTGTCCAGAATTTAGATGACCTAACATTTGTCTGAAGCAATATCAAATTACAAAAAAAGAATAAAGTGAAGAGTGTCCCAAGTTTTATTTTCTTCCATCATTGATTCTTAGACCCTTGTGTACAGTTGTGGAATACAGAGCAGCTTGTTACTGATTTTTTTTTTTGGATGTGACCCAGGAAACTTGAAATAATAG